TTGTGTTTACCGGTATATAGCTGTAGTCTACAAGAATGTTTCTTTTCAGATAAATGGTCGCTTGATTTTATGTTTCAATTTTTAATGTTCAATTCCATGCTTTCTAGCAAGGATCTGTCTGTGTTTGCTAGTAACCACTGGACCTTGGGACATAGTAGTAATTGACACCTCAAAACAGCAGTGAAGTACTACTCCCTCCAGGGAAGTTCCTGTCCAGGGAACCTTCTATATTGCCTGGCATTGGCGAATCCCCAGAGGGAACATGGCAGTTTGGTTTTGACCACTTCCTTTGCAATGATTTATTCATTTCATGTGATTCCTTCTTTTTTCCCCACAGATGTGAGGGAGCCAGAAGGGAAAGTTGCAGTATTGAATGCTAGTATGTATTACCTTATGAATATTGAAATTCATCTTACAAATCTGTCTGTTGTATAGATATGTGAAATGATGATATCCACTTACCAATTATCTTAAGATACTAGGATCTACATATGCATGCTAAAATTGATTAAAATATGTTCTATTCATAACATACCGGGTAACAAACTCTGATAACACATTACTAAGAGAAGCCTACTTAGTAAATAAGAATGTAAAAAGTAAATGGTTTACAAGTGTAGAAACCCTCATGCAAGATTTAGATGTTGTCACCATTGTAAACTCGAGTGAAAAAATAATTAAGAAAAATTTAGACTTTATTCATAAAAAAATAAACAAATCATTTGAGAACCAATGGATCTTAGACATGCATAATGATAATAGAAAACAAACCTTGGGTCACCATAGGGACAAATTATTCCTGACTGCACAAATTAAAATTCCAAATTTTGATAAAGAAAATAGTCAGAATAAATTCATTTTGATTATGGTAAACCATACTCTAGCACCAGCCTTAGCTGTCTTCTTAAAAAAACAGCTATGGAACAAAACAGCAACAACTATCAGTGTATTAGGCCACATTCTGTGTTCATTCTATATTCTGTATTCACCATTGGCTGCAAATTGTCTTTTTTTGTTTTTGACTTGTTTTATTTATTTTTTGAGAAAAGTTTTTATTTTTTGTTTTCTTTTTTAGATTGTAGTTTTTTTTTTTAATTTCTTTCTGTAAGACCCTTTTTATCCTTTCCTAAGGATTTTATGCGTCTAATAAAAAAATAAAATAAATAAATAAATAAATAAATAAAAATATAGTTATACTAGTTGGATGGCTGAAAACAAAATTAAATTTTAAACTATCTTGATATTTCTCATATCTATTGACTTCTGCTAAATTACTGAGTATGCAGCCAGATTGCAGAAAGATTACCGTTAAAGTCCTAATATAAACCGCATACGTAATAGTAACCGCACCCCCAATTCCGGCTTCAGGGTTGAAGAGTTCTTAACAAAAATTGAAAACTTGAAAAGTACCTATTACTAACCGCACCCCCAATTCAACAAGACCGTGACTGACTTCATTGTTTCAACCAGCTGGTCCAAAACGGCATTGTTCCTAAACCTATTCATTTGTTTCGACAACGTGCCTAAAAATATTCACACCTATTTATTGTTCAGCGGTGATAGGATGTCAGACACGCAATGAAACTGCTTTTGTTCTGGCGGCAACCCCCGGCGGCAACCTCTGTCAATACTCTTTCTGAATACGTCTGTGTTTCGTAAGTTTTCGACAATGAGCTGTTATCACCGTAAAAGTGTTAAATTCTTCTTCAATGCTCAGTTTATCTTTCGAAAACAAATAATTTCTTGATTTACAAACAAAATCATGTTGTTTTCCCATGGAAATCAAAGCCAAGACATCGCACTACATTGTCGGTAAATCTCTTCCGTGTTCACCATGAGGTCGCTGAACTTTCATTAACATATTTAAATGACTATGTAATTTAGACACGTGGGCACCATCCAGCATTTTGATTGGTTAATTAGCGACATGATCTATTCAGTCAATAAAACATCACGTGTGCATTCAAAAACATGGTCGGTATCGTATCGACCGTTTACGTGTGACTGAAATCATTCGTTTACGGTGAAACTACTTGCATTTCATAACAATTCAACGGATTTATTTTTCGTGCGTTATTGTAATGACTAATGAAGTAAGTTATTCATTTGTAACAAGTAAGTTATTCATTTGTGAACCACAGCATTGCCGGATTGCGCTACCGTTCTGTGATCATGTGCTACTAAGCAGTGCATTCGTGTTTGTTTTTACTTGAAACTTCTGTTAGAATATACTTTTCGTTAACAAGAAAATTAAAAAAAAAATTACATTAAATATAGTGAGTATTTTTTTATCATGTGGACAGTTTTTTTGATTGACTGTAATTTTTCAACATTTCGTAACGCCTATTTTAGAACCAAAATAAGGCCTTTCACTCTTCCCCGACACCTATTCAAGAGATTGTACGGTGTATTGTTTGTTTTGTGCATGTGTTGTGGACAGAAAATGACCACGCCCATTTAGTGATTGCAATATGTACATAATAGAAACCGCACCCCGAACTTGAGCTTTTGATCCCAATTTTTAAATTGATACATTGTAATATAAACCGCGGTTTATATTAGGACTTTAACGGTACTTCCTCCATTTATCTTTCTATTGGGCAGCCACTTGTCATAGTACTGAACAAGATGGTGGAGTTTCAATTATGGATAATAGCCATCAAGCTGAAGATGGTGACAAAGCACCACTGGATCAAGTTGCCAAGATTGTCTCAAAGAACAAGCTTCTCTCTAAACATATTAAAATTAATCTGAAAAAACCTGTTGATGAAGGAAAAATAAATGGGAATTTGAAACCAAGTTCTCCAATTAAAAGTGGTTTGAGTCCAGGAAGGGGGGATGCAATAATGAAAAGTCCAAGGATGAGTCATACCAAAAAGAAGACCAATGGTAACTTGTAAAGATTTCTCATAAAAACCCAATTAGTATGCAGTTGTTATTTATTTGCATTTCCAGTTCCATTTAGATTTTTGAACTGGCATCGCAATGTTAAAACTCGGTCATCAACTGCTGCGTTAGAGCCAAACAATTTGAGGTGTCCAGTCCTAATACTTTAAATGTGCCTACTGGTGAACATTTTCTTTACTACTTTATTAAACCAGATTGTGGAAAAATTACTTAATTACTCTCTTCATCTCTTTATTTGCAGCCACATGCCGCAGTATTGAAGCTGATGCTTTGAAAGGGAATACTGAACATGATGGTGAAATTTCAACTATGGCTGATAGTTGTCAAGCCGGAAATAGAGACAAATCATCGCAGAATCCTGTTAACTTGGCTTCAATAGAAAGGTCTACTTCAATAGACATTGATACTAGGATGAAAATGCTTGTTGAAGAAGGTAAAATTAATGTGAATTTGCAGCCAGGTTCTCCAACCAAGGGTGACACAAAGGCTGCAGGAATAAATAGTGACACAAGTCCAGAAAAGAAGGCTGTAGGAGAAAAGGGTGGTACCAGTCCAGAAAAAAAGACTGCAGGGAAAAGAAAGACAAGTCTTGCAAAAAGAAGTGTCAACACAGGAAAACCTCTGAAGATCAAATTTAAAAAGCCATCACACAAGAGTCTTCCAGTTAACAATATGGAGAACAGTTCAGCAATGAAAAACGAAGATTGTGATGCAGTTGCTACTTCTTCTTCAGTGAAGGGAATTGTTGAGTCAAGCATTTTGGAGAAAAAAAGTACATCACTTGTGCCATCAAATGAGGATAATATTTCTGATACTAAACATGCAGATGTATTGCAGTCCCCGGAACAAATCAAAAGAAAACTAGACTTTGATGAGAATGATGCTAATGACATACCATTCAAACTGCACAAGGTGAGACTTAAATATGTGTACTTAAATATGATTGTTACTTCCAATGTGCATCTTTCTATCTACTTCTAAGACATGATTTTACCATGATTCTATCCCATTACTTGTTGATCCATTCAGATATGATCCCTAAAATGATTATAAAATTCCACTTTTTGAATGTATTATTGCAAACACTCTATGAATGTTCTTCATTCCCCATTCAAATACAGTCTGAAAATGGGGGGGCTCATATTCAGTCACATCTTACACATGCTCGGTTCGTTTAAATTCAAACATCACACATACATCAGACATCTTATCAAACAAACACATGCATTTTTGTCCGCATCAAATCCAATATGACTGACTGCTTGCCATCCCGTTTAAATGATTGCTGTTCTATGGTCCATATTTCATGTATGTCAATATAATGGATATTGCTTCTAGTCTTGAATATTTCACGCTTATAATACACACTATTCTCCTTCTTGGTCTGAATTGTGATATAATTTTGTTTCAGAACTTGTCAAATGCTTCAACCTTTTCACCACTAGTTCCCTCTTTTCATCACAAATTCACAAAATAGTTCCATTATAGTCTGCACTTTTCTTCTGTTAAATTTTTTTATTAAAAACTGAAAATTGACTCAAACTCTGTTGGCTTCAAAATTAGTGTTCATTTCCAGAAAAATTGAAGTAAAAAAGTTTGATGGTGAAAAGGTTAACGTGTGATGTATATGTATTTCCAGAAAAAATAAAAGTCCCCTGAATATTCAGTGATGTAGATACAAGCCGGTAGCTGGTCAAAACGACTGCCTACTCTAGTGAAAATACCGGCTATTTTTTTTTTTCATTATAAAACAACAAATTTCTAATAATATATTCTGTATACAAGAAATCGTAGCGTATTTAATACTTTTAACAGTTTTAAAAAACGCATTCAAAGTTACGACAATCTTTTTGCATAGCGACACAGGCAAATCTGTAGATGTTTGCTGAAAATGTAACGTACTTCCGCGTTTGACGTTGTTCGGGTTCGCATGAAGGCTTTCGGCGTTGCTCGGGTATGTTAATTACAATCACATGTGCACGACGTCATTATCACCGCCATTCTGACCTCCGGTTTTCTATGGCTTTATGCCCTCTCTTTTTATGTTTATTCAACATGTTGTCAAACAAATCATCTACCCGGAAGAGAGCATCGTTGAACCACCACAGTCAATGATCAAGAAACTTTTCAAGTCGTTTGAATCGTGCAACCAAACTGAAGCTGACGGTCTTGCTAACTCGTCGCTGGTGACTCCAGAAATGACAAGTGCTCGGCAATGTGATGATGTCGCTGTGGAAACAAATCCACAGAGCTCAACTTTGTCCGATTTGAATGTCGATACCAAGTTGAAATCCTCACAGAATGATGCCGATGGATCGAAAAAAATAAATATGCGGCCAGTCCAGGATGGGAAAGACATTTTAGTGTCAGCATTTCCTGCATTGTTTGTAGACGTCGATGAGTATAACACGCACATGCATAACTTTTACTTTTGTCATGGTTCGTGCAATCAAATTTCCAAGGGCGATTTCTCTCACGGTAAAACGCCGGGATTCAACTACAAAATGTTTACACGAGTGGATTAATAATAAAGAACTAGCTTACGATGTAACTACTGATTCATGGTGGTTATAATATATTTCTTGTAATTACACGGAATTATAATAAAAAATTACATCACAGTTTCTTGTAGAATTAACATTTTATTCGCTTAAAATAGCATGAATAATGACCTCGTTATTAAAAAAGCTCCAAAACATGGGAGGGGGACACACCCCCTCACAGACCAACCCCCACACCCCCAGTGCCACCTGCCACAGCATTTGCCTTCGGCAAGCACCTACGGCACACACAATTTCAGCTCCAATATAAATCTGTACTTTCTAATTTTCTTATTTGACCTACGCAAAAACAAATCTACATCACTGATATTCATCATTACGGGGTAGTTATGATTTTGAATATCTTATTTTGTTCTCTGCAGATTGATGATATAGATAGACTGGATAGGATTGAAGTTGTTCAATTTTCAAAAAACAAACCAGTAAGTATTGAAATGATATATAATGTGTACTAAAATGTGAATTACCGCTATATTATCGTCACCTGCGCATGCGTCAGATAGCCATAGCGTGTCATTATTTACAAACAAGCGTCATTTGCTGTTTTAGCTTCTGTTATCGTCGCTTGGGACTCAATTCCCATGTGTGCGCAGCTGACGACCCTCCCACTTTAAACAAAAAAAAACTGATCTATGTATAGCTATGTTTTACAGATATTTTGTGTTTTTTGTTCTGCAGTGTATTGAATGCGTTGATGTGAGATTTATTAATGAGGCATATGAGAACATCAAAAGATTTGTTAATGGAAAGTCGGACATGTAAGTTTTGAAAATTGCAATTTTTCATATGCATGCTGGTATCAAATCTCGTTCAATTCTCAAATGGATTGAAACATTTTTGCTACATATGTACTGCTTGTGTAGTTTCATGACTTGATCTGTTAATTGTAATTAGCTAAATAATTTGTATACTGTAGAATACTTTATTTTGGCTTGGAATTTATTTTTGCTATTTTCGCTGAAGAGATGATTCCGTGAAAATAAAATCCAGCGAATATACTTTTTTTCCTATATTTCACATTAGGCTCATCAAAAATCAGTGAAAATAAATTCCATACAAAACGCCCCAAAAACCCTTTCAGCGAAAATTAATTCCAGCGAAAATAAAGTATTTCACAGTAATTATTTATTATTTCACACTTTATATGTCTTTACATAAATGCATTGAAACTATAATAGATTTGCAGATTAATTAGCTAAAATGCATAATTAATGGTTTTAATGTGTTCTTTGTACATCTTTGCAAATTTGCAAAAATTGATTCAATTCAATGACTGATTATACTTTCTAATATCTATGCAATTTAATAGGCTATTTTACATACTAGTTTTATGCAACTGTTCTCAGGTTATTTTTTTCTGTATTGTACATACCAATGCAAAAAAAAAATCATTTAAAGCAAAAATATTAATAATTAAAAAATATTAAAGGTGATAACAGTTTTGAATTTATTTTCAGAACCAATTAATTTGCATATTTGAAATTTAACACTTTGAGCATGTCTGGTTCATGGTGAACACAATAATCAGTGGGAGATGCTCTGCGTATACATGTAGTACAGAGTGTGAATACTAAAGTGAGGTTGTTGTAAGTTACGAGTGAGCAGCTTGTGAGTGAACTGCTATTTTTCATTTTGATAGATTTTTCAAACAGGAATGTTTCATTTTCTGGCTATAACCCTGGTGGACAGCATACAGTACAGTTCTCGCGGAAGCTTTGGCTTTTGTGGCATCATTGTCGCCTACGCATGGCTTCATTGTCGCCTCAGCATCGCATCATTGTGGCATCAGCTTCGCGTCATTGAAAATTGAAGCTGTGTTCGCCTCGCTATTTTGTGGCATCATCGTGGCCTCAGCTTTGCAGTTTCATGGCATCAACATGGCATCAGCTTCAACCTATTGTGACATGAGTATGACCTCATTATTTGCACGCAGAAGGGCAGTAGACAAAAACATGTACAGAAGTTCGATATGTAATCGATTTGAAATTCAAGGCGAATAAAATAATATGATCAAAAGTAAAATGACATTTTAAAAAGATATCTTGTTTAATTATTTTAGTGTTGCGAGTATTGGGCACCAAAAACTTTGCGAAGTACATTACAATCGGCAAGGTGACGAGTTTCATATTGACTGGAAGGAAAATCGTGATAAATTCAAATCACACGATGCAATCGTCGTTCTGATACAACACAATTTGCTGTATACGAAGTGAAACTGTTCTTGTTATAAAATTTACCTTTTTTCGCTCATTTTATTTGCTGCTAGAAGAGCAGATTCAG